TTTTAAACAATACCATTTTTTGTAATTTTGATAACATTTTAAGGTTAATTTAGTATTTTCAGCCTTGGAAGGCTATTGTGGTGAATGGTAAAAAAATTTGGGTAAAGTGGAAAATGGTATCTCTCACTTGGGCAAACTGAAAATTACCCCCTTTTATTATGCGTCACCCGAACAATACATAAATCAGGTTTTTAAGTATCACCATTTCAAAATTAAGAATACATGTTTTAAATTTCAAAAATCAGGTTTTTATTTTTATTTATTTATGAATGAATTAATTAATTATATGTTTTATTAATAAACATATAACGGTCACAGATCTATACAATTTGGTCATAATTCAAAAATTTTAAGGTCACAAATCAAAACATTTATAGGTTACAGTTCGTTCAGTGGTTACAAATTAAAAATTTGAAAGTCACAATTTATTTATTGGTCATAAATCACAAGATTTATAAGTCATACAACTTATGTTATTGTCACAAAACGTCAAATTATAGGTCACATATTACTTTTATTCGTCACAAATTAATAAATTTGTAGGTCACAATTTATTTTTTATTGGTCACACACTAACCAATTTATTGGTCACGATCAACAAATGATTTATGACCAGCATCGACACAACACTACCACCGCCTCCGCCCCCAACACCAACTCCACAGAAACGCATTACCGTCGCCAACACCAACATCAACACCAACGCCACCATCACCATCACCACCACTACCATCGACACCCATCCAACAACAACAACAAAAATCATCAGAACTACAGATCGCCCATTCGCCGCTCACAGCTTCATCGCCCATCAGAACTACAGATTGCCCGTCAGAACCACTACCACCAACACCCATCTGCCGCTCATAGCTTCATCGCCCCTTCGCGCAGAGGTCTGGGTAGGAAGCAAACTACAGATCATCCCTTCACCGTACAAAACAAAACTACAGATCGTAGAGAGACTGCGCTGCCATCAAACGCCTCTTCACGCAGAGGTCGGGGTGGGAAGCCTTATCGAGCATTCTATCAGCCTCATCGATCCACTTCTTTTAACTGAGGGCCCTTTGGAGCACCACCATACAAGCATTGGAACGAAAAAATGAAATGGTGGTGGTGCCAGCGGGCGGCGGCTACAGGAACATAGAGAGAGAGTGGAGAGAAAATAGGTAGGTCGGCAAGGGGAGAGAGATAGAGAGAGAGGGAGAGAAAATGAAATTAGGGTTTGAAAATTGTGTAGAATTGATTTAAATAAAAATTAATTTAAAAATGATTAATTAAAACCTGATTTATGTATTATTAAAGTTGATTTTGGATTTTTGAAAATGGTAATTTAAAAACATCTTTGGGTGTAATTTCCTTCGTTACCAATTCTCTTCTCTAGTATCTATTGCTTTAGAAGAGAGTCCACCAGCCCAATATGTGTCTTCAGGCCCAATCCACTTTCGTATAAAAATTCTCACTCCACCAAGTTCACGTCTCTAGGGTTTTATCTCATTTGGCTTCTCCACTTCGTAATATAGCAGAACCCCCTCGCCCCACCAATACGACAACCAGCTACCGGAAATGGTGAAGGGACGTCAAGGAGAACGCGTCAGGTGCCTCCATACACACATATATCTATATTTCTTGTTATCATTTCACTATTTTTTGTCTTAATTCCATGATTATGTGCAGGCTGTACGTGAGAGGGACGATACTAGGGTACAAGAGATCGAAGTCGAACCAGTATCCAAATACGTCGTTGATTCAAATCGAGGGAGTTAACACCAAGGAGGAGGTGTCATGGTACCAAGGGAAGCGCATGGCATACATTTACAAGGCCAAGGTCAAGACGAATGGGTCCCACTACAGGTGCATTTGGGGTAAGGTTATTAGGCCCCATGGAAACAGTGGCGTTGTTCGTGCCAAGTTCAAGTCTAATCTTCCCCCAAAATCCATGGGCGCTCGTGTTCGTGTCTTCATGTACCCGAGCAGCATTTGATGGTATTATATATACGTTTTCATTTGAACTGGGTTTGGAATTTTATTTTTAAGTACGAAGGGATTCGATGTTTATGAATTTCGGTGAATAATTAATGCTAGAAGAAAATTGCCTTTTCTTTTCTTTTCTTCTTTGTAACATGTGAGTTTACTCTTATAGTTTATTAATTCTGGCATATGCCATTTTATTTTGTCTTAGCTTCATAATTATTGATATTTTGAGCCTTCAACGTTAGTTTTGTTGCTAGCTGTTAAAAAGTTAAAATTTGCCTCTAGCTTCAAGTTATAAATATGAGTTTTTCTTTTTTCTTTCTCCTCTCTTGAAATGCGCATTTGTTCTTTGCTTGATAAGTAGGTTGATTTCTGCTATAAACAATTTTGAACATTTTAAAGTTGTTGGAACATTTAGAGTTGTGCATTGATATTTGTTCTATTTGGAGATAATAGGCAATGTTGAATGTAGATGAGATCAATTTACCTTTCTTATTGCTAATGCATCATACTTTACTTGGTAAATTGTGTGGTATAAACCATGTATTAAAACAACCACTTAGGTGGCTCAACTGATAATTCAGTGAACGGGCCAATGTTTTCCGGGTCCTATTCAATAGTGAACAAAAATCAGAAAGAAGAGACTTCCATATCGGCTTTGTCGAAGGAGCTGCAGTTTAACAAAAGTTTTAAGTAAATTTTCTTTCACACTACAAGATGGTCTTCTTGACTTTAAAGAACTATGAGTTTATGTTTTCAGTTCGTCTGTGCATGAATTAGAAAGAAAGGGTAGTAGTAATGAAACCACCGTTAAGGAGGAGTTGTAGATTGGGTTGAGGTGCTGGCTTTAGAGGGTTGTTCCCCTGTGAGATTTTATATTGGTAGAAGGCTAGAGAAAGAAAAAAGTGCCTGTGTTGATGGTTCTTTTTGACTATCATCAGTTACATAGTTTGTCTCCTTACGTTTTAACTCTTCTGGTTCACTTCTCGGGTTGGGTTTTACATTAATTGGTATTACCAAGTCACTGGAAATGTTCTTGAATAATTACTTTTGTCTCCGATGGTTTGTCTTTGAAGCATATCTTTGTTGCCATACGATGATGTGCTAGAACTGGAAGTTTATTATCTTCATTCACACCATTGCCCTTGCATTGAAAATGTTTCTAATAAATGTATCAACTTCTATTCTCTTTGCAGTATTGACGCTGCGGAAGAAGTGAAGTCATAAGTGGCTTTAGAAGGTTCATATTCTCTATTGAAGTCATTGGAGATTGTATAATTTATTTATAAGAGTTAAATTGTTAGTGCTTTCTGGAATCATTCTAGTGAAGTCATGTTTGTCTATTATAAAGAATTGAACTTGCGATAAATATTGACAACGTGTCATTATATTTCAAATTTTCAATCATATTATTGACTCCCAAGTGTTGATTTGCATTTTGAAAAATTCTGACCCTTGAATGATAGAAATTATGGTAGATTACTGTATTTTCCAACAAATTTGCCAGAAGTCTTGGCTTTTTTTTTTTGATAACCGTGGATGTCCGGACAACTTGCGCGCACCTCGACTAACATAAATATTATGATGGTGATTCATTCTTGATCGGTGTGTGGGGTTCTGAGAATGTGCATGCACTTTAATGCATTGGACTATTTGTAAAGGGGTTCAATGCAAGTCCTTGATTAAAAATAATCAATGTTTCTTTAATTTGTTAGTCAATTTTTTAGCGTATAAATCAGTCTAGAATAAGTTAACACTATACAATTGAGTATCTTTGCATGTAAGTAAAAATTTGTACATTTTTATCTTTACGTGTCCTATAATTTATGGGCTAGGTACCTTAAATCAATTCATTAGCCAAAAAATAAATAAAAAATAATGTGTTTATCAATTGAAAATAATATTTAACGTGATTGTAAATTAAGATATCAAATCCAGCTGCTTTATTCACGTTAGATCTAACGTTACGTACCGGTTGTCACGATGTCCAAATTCTAACGATAGCGGGAGCCTAATTTTGACTGCAGTCTCTGCGATTTAGGCCACTCCCATTTCGTGGTGGTTTAAGTTCTAATTCAAATTTGACTTTATCATCCCAAATTCTGTACCCGCTGAAATATTCAAAGCTTCCACTTTAATATACACCAACTTTGAATGACTATTTGCACTTCTACTCGCTAACTTTTCAATTCTTTTCTTTTTTCTTTGAAATATAGCCATTGATGAAAAATATTGCACAATTGCACCCAACTCAATACCCAATGACATGTTAGCCTCAACGTTTATTTATAATTGTACATTTGCAAAATGCGAAAATCCTCACGTGACTCCTGCAAAAACTCGAACCTCATCAAATTTTTAGTATCGATTTTATTAGAGAAGTAAGATCTAGGTTTTGTAAAACTCGACATACAAGGATCACTTGAATATTCAGATGATTTTCGCGATGAGGACTAAAAGTGAAATCATAATGAAATGATAGAGATCAATTTACTTCTTTTTAAAGATTAAATACTAACTTACTACGAAAATAATGAATTAGGAACCAATAGAATAGTAGAAGAAAACAACAAAATGAACCCTTTCACTTTCAACTATTCCTATAAATTCCTCTCAATTTTTTTGTTTAGGCTTGTACTGCTACTATTATTATTGTACTGTTATTAATAATAAGTGACTGCACAGGATTCGAACCCTCTCCGCGTTCTCTCTGCATATTTTTCGTCGGTCGTCCCCACTCTCCGCATAGTGAAACTTTGAGATTTTTTGATACAGTATGATGAAAATGAATCAGACTCGCTCAATTTCGTAGGAGCTTCGCAAATGCGTTGCAGATCTCTTATTTTTAATAACTTTCTTTTGTTAATTATCAGTGTTTAAATTTATACAGATACGTTTTGAAGAGTTTCAATTTGTGAGATTTATTGTATTGAAAGAAGATGTCGGCGATGAAATCATATTCATCGGGCCGATTTTTCACTATTGGGTTAGTAACAGCATGGTACTCATCAAACATTGGAGTATTGCTTTTGAACAAATATTTGTTGAGCAATTACGGATTCAAGTATCCGATTTTCTTGACCATGTGCCACATGACGGCTTGCTCGTTGTTCAGCTACATTGCGATCGCGTGGATGAAGATGGTCCCGATGCAGACCATAAGATCTAGGGTTCAGCTAATGAAGATCTCAGCTTTGAGTCTCGTGTTTTGCGGGTCTGTTGTTAGCGGGAACATCTCGCTTAGGTATTTGCCTGTGAGCTTTAACCAGGCGATTGGGGCTACCACACCCTTTTTCACTGCCGTGTTTGCGTATTTGATGACGTTGAAAAGGGAGGCATGGTTGACTTATGTGACTTTGATTCCGGTTGTCACCGGAGTTGTGATTGCCAGCGGGGTATGTATTTTCATTTTGTTTGGATTATGGGGATATGTTGCATTTCCGTTGTTTGCTAAATTCTGATGCTGTTTTGTTGAATTGAATGTGTCTTTATTTGTTTTGGTTCTCTATTGTACAATCTGGATCTATTATGATGCTTTTTGTCTTATCTTTAAGTGCTTTGATTCGTCTAATTGAAGTTACGGGAAGTAATTCGAGGGAACCAATTATAGTTTTGTTCATTGGCTAGCGCCGTGTCTTGTACTGTTGGAAAAACAATGACAGAAAGTTATGTTTCTGATTATCCTATACCAAGATTAGTAGGGGAAATATTGAATGAAGTGCCATTATTCTGTCAACCAAGATGTACTTGAATTGGAACTGGTTGAATAAATTTACCCGGAAAATGGAATTAGGGTCAATTTTTTAAAGACTTGTTGAATAAAGTTGGTCGAGCATTCATGATGAAATTCTACTTATCTTCCAAGGTTTACAATATTCACAAGAAAATAACTCACATCTGTTATTTAACCACCTGTTTGCTCTTGATCACACACGCTTTTCATTTTACTGCTAAATTCCTGTTGCTATGATACTAGAGGTGAAATCTATTATGTTACTGATTTTTTTCTCTTTCCATCATGTTAGGGTGAGCCAAGTTTCCATCTATTTGGATTTATAGTGTGTGTTGCCGCAACAGCTGCGAGGGCACTTAAATCGGTGCTTCAAGGGATTTTGCTTTCTTCTGAAGGGTAAGCATTTGTCTCTCTGTGCCATATTTATTCTGGTGAAATTTAACTGGAGTTTCTTGCCTTTACATGTGAAAGAATTAGATATCATTTCTTGAAGTTTTGTTATTTTTGAAGGGAAAAGCTCAATTCTATGAATCTGCTCTTGTACATGGCTCCTATTGCTGTGGTGCTGTTGCTTCCGGCAACGCTCTTTATGGAAGAAAACGTTGTTGGCATCACGTTGGCACTTGCAAGGGATGATATCAATATTGTCTGGTTACTGCTATTCAATTCTGCACTTGCTTATTTTGTGAACTTGACCAATTTTTTGGTCACAAAACATACCAGTGCTTTGACTCTTCAGGTAACTTCTTTAATTCTTAGTCCTAACTAAATCCCTTCTAGGAGTTGCATTTGCAAACAAATATTTTCATGCATATAGTTGAAACCAAAAAAAATTGTAACTTTCATATTAAGAAACAGAAGAGTAGGACTAACTATATTCTACAGTAAGGTGTTTTAAACGAAGAGCAGCAGGATCTGGTGTATTTAGAAAACATGCTGAAGGACATGAAAAGATTCATAAAAGAATATAGTGAAATAACAGCAGCTTTTGAGCTGTAGAAACATTTCTAGCTAATTTTCTATCCTATTTTCTTGTTTTCATAAAATTTAGACAAGCAATCTAGGTTATGATGTGCATTTCTAAGTTTGTTGAAGGAAGTTAAATATACCGTACGAACACCGACTCATGCTAAGAATTTCTTTCTAAATGGAATTATGTTCCATGACGCCCAATTGCCCATGTCTATCTTGCTGCAGGAATCTATTTTCTATTTAAACAATGAGCAATTGCCGTTTACTATTCTGTTATAGTTGTCCTGAGGCTACATAGTTTAGTACAAATATTATCTTAGATGTTGGAAAGTCAAAAGTGATTCTTGTTGCACTGAAGGTGAAGACTTTCAGACTGTAAAATTTCTGCTTTGAGATGTACTAAATTCACTGACAAGTGACAACAAAGCATCAAGTTGTTGAATGTATTGTTGATTGCAAATCTAAGTTAATCATGTGAAATTGTGGTAGGGTTGCTAGTTATTATTTGTTTCATGTTGTCATTTTCATTTTCCTCATACACATCGGGTAGAGAGAAATGCATGTGAGTTGGTATAAAGAAGATGTGGAATTTAGTAAAAGCTCCGTTATTTTTGCTGTCTAGAAGATATATAAAACATTCTATGGTTTGAAGCGCTCTGTCAATGATTGAAACAATTTTTGGGTCCTTGAACTCCATATCCATCATAATTTTCATCTGTGCTTGTGATTAATCCAATTCATTTAAAAAAAAAAAATTATTGTCTATGATGAATTAAATTTGTTAACTACTGGCTAAAAGGTACTTTTTAGATTGATTAGCACAAAATGATGTATTGTTAAGCCATTACAATTTCTTTTTTCAGGTCCTAGGAAATGCAAAAGGTGCTGTAGCAGTGGTTATTTCAATATTAATATTTAGGAATCCCGTCTCTGTTACTGGAATGCTAGGGTATTCTCTCACAGTCATTGGCGTTATACTCTATAGCGAAGCCAAGAAGCGAAGTAGGCGAGAGAGCAGTCTCTAAAAGTATCAACGGTTGATATTCATCTATACTGTGACATAAAAGTGATGTGCAACCTTCCAGAGGCAAGTTTGGATCTTCTTCTTGCATTTCGTGTATGAATTTTTCCTTCAAAAATACCTTTCTTTTTTTTTTCCCCCAGAAGCCCGTTAAGAGGCTTCAACCTGTACGAGCAATCCACACCAGATTAGCCATAGAAGAATTTTAATAAACGACTCAATGTCTTAGTTTGGGGTTATTGGAAAAAAAGGAAAAAGAAAGAAAAAGAAACTTTTTTAGTCCCTTGTATTCTTTCAGGAAAGGATTGTAGAACCCAGTTGACATAGTATTTTATTCAATTTTTTTCTTTATTGGTTAATCAATGAAAGACACTTGTACCAATTTGTGGGAATCCATAACTAGTGTGTTAACTGATTATATTGCTTGCATTTCTATTAGACTTGACACTCGAGGCAGCCTTCTAGTTTCAGGTGATTAAAGGTCAAAACTGCCAAGTTTTACGATTGGATAAAATATAGTGAAAACCAAATTGGCTCGAAGGTATTAGCAGTTCAATACGACCCACAAGCCGAGAACATTCCCGGCCATGGCAGGCCATTTCTGCGGATGGTTGTAAAAGAAAAGCAAAACCGTACGAAGGTCAGAAATCTTTAAGCACGCTGTCCATGCAACAAGTGACAGCATCGAGCCTTTACAGCCGTAAACCTCTAATAAGAGCTCTTCTGATTAAGCGCAAAATAACTTAGAAATACCAAGACATTATTTCTACATACTTTCAAGCTTAGATGCCCACTTTTAACCAAGCAGTCATAATCCATGGACAAACGAGAGGAAAAATTCCATAAAATAATCAAACTTCACAAAGTCGGAGCGAGGAAATGTGAACATCTCATAACATAATCAAATGACAAAGTACACTTTGTAGATAACATAAACAGAACAAAGTAAATAATCGAACATCTCAGGTTTACCTGCATGGCGATATAAGAGAATAAAAACAAAATAAAACCCGAAAAGCACAAGGCCATGTAGGTAGATAATAAGGAAAGAAACCGAGTTCAAGAATCCGGAACAGTAGCTGTAGGGCTCTTCATGGATGCAGACTTGATTAAATGGTTATAGCTGCCTTTTTCTTTGAACAGCTGGGAAAAATGCGGTTTACAGTACAAAACGCCGTCTAGGGCTGCATAGTTTGATGGAGTTAGAGAGCATCCACCATGTGAACACTTGAAACAAGACTTGTGATAGCTTTGGTTTTCCACTGTCACCTGCATCGTATTTACGTACAAGTTTCTTAGGTAGAAATATTGATGAAAATTGTAACAAATAATTTAAGCTGCCCGATCTTGCAAGTAATTACACGCGATCCAGTGATCAACACTTGAAAGTAAATCAAATTATTGATGCAAAAACTGAAGCAGTATCCAATTCCCAGCCTCAACCATGAAAGAGCAGTACTTTAAAACACAGCTGTTCTAGTAAACCACCCATTGCATGTTTAATACGTAGTACTAGACAAGATGAGGAGTAAAATGAACAAGATTTTAATTTCTTTTTCTTCTTTACTATTGTCGAGTGTTGTATGATCCTCCATACTAAACATATAGCCAATGTCTAATCACTCGAGTCAACTTATCACTACACATCACGTTGGCAGCAAGTCAGCCAAAATTAAATGCAAATTCTGAATACAAAAACCTGCTTTCATTGCTGACTGCAGTTTAACCAAATTGTTCTCTTCAAAATAGAGAACGAATTGGGTCAGTATATTCCAATGCATTATCTACTTGTATCAACCGTAGGAAACATTATATCATATCAAAATGCATCTAGTGCCCCTTTTCTTTCCAGTGGTTTGTGATATTAGCAGGGCTCAAAAATATATTCCTTTTGAACTTAATCTGCAGCTGTAAAAGAATAGGCGATGTTGGCTGCTGCTGCAATCATTTGATCTAAAAACCTTTATGGTACTAGACAATTTCCAGAAAGTAAATAGATTAAAAAGTATTATCCTACATAGCACTGTCTGAGTGTACCAAACATGCTCTTCATATATGACGCATGAGCATATATTTGACAATGAATAATTGAAGATTAAGAAAAGAAAGAGAAGAATTGATGGAAAAAGAAGATGTCAATTTTTTCATCATACTACAATGAATAAGCTCTTTATTTATAGAGCAAATAATCAAAAACTAATAGAACTTCTAATAAAATCAAAAATGCTCTAAAACTAATCTAATCTAATTAAAATTAAAATACTTTGAATTAAACTATCTAAAACTCCATCTATATCTATATCTCCATCTTGATCTCAATCAACGAAGTGGTAATGAATTGCCTACCATATTCGGATAGCCAAGTCATCGTAGAGAATTGATTATGCCCTTCTTCAGCGTAATCATTTTTTAAGTGTTAATAATTAAGCCATTCAGATCAAACAGCATAGACAAATTGGATGCAAACTACTATGTATAGACTGAAAAATCTATCATCCAAATCACAACTGGGGATTTAACAATGTAAAACACGAGCCCCGAAAACAATCTGGACAACACAACCTAGGCACCTAGCCAATTAAGAAAGTACAGAAATTCTCAAATAGAGCTGTACCAAAACACCATTTAAAGAAATCTGTCATACCTTCTCAAGAGGGTAAGCTGTTTTACCACAAGTAGCACATTTATCTTGTGTTCCTGAGAACATGCCAGCAGCTTTGCTTGGTGATCTTGTCTGGATATTCATAGGAAAGATTAAAATTTAAAGGCAAAAATATTGACGTTGGCAGTATGGGTAGTTAGTCATTTTTTACACCCTGCCAACATCACAACTGTTAAATTGCTGGTCCAGTATGGTAGTCGTTTTTTTACATATCAAGCAAAATCTTTTCATTTTTCAAATAAAGAAAACATACCATCTCTGGAGTTAACTTCTCAGCCGACTTTACAGCTGTGGAAAATGAAATGAATTGTTAAAAGAGAATGGCTAACTAATTTTTGAGGTTTAAAAAAGTCAGGTCACACCAGAGAAGGCATACGTGTCTGAAAATTCTTGCTGAAACTGCCTGTCTCCTTGAAGAGCTGCTCAAAGTGCGGCTTGCAGTAGAGAACACCTTCCATTGACGAGTAATTGCTCAGCTGAAAAAAAAAATAAAAAAAAATCAGTCCCCTGAACAACATTAAACACCACCAGCACTGGATTAAATTATTCATCATTTTTTTTTAAAAAATGGAAAATTACAGTGCCAGGGAAATTTTCCATAGTGCTGCAGCTATATCATAACTCGACTCAAATTCATGACCTGATTAATTCGATCAGGCACTTGCCATCATTTTTCATTCTTCAAATCTTTGACAACACTAAAAGCCAATTGGGGTTATGGATTTTCAGTTCATGGGGATAGCATGGGATCCGATATAAGCTACCAAAAAATTTCAACCTCTCAAACCAACTTTAAAACTTTTTTCTGCAGAAATTGTTCCCACATTAGGACAAATCTGGATTATTCTCCTAAATTAATAAATATACATTGTTATTAGCTACTTTTTACCGTGTGTCATGAGCTATTTACTGTCAGCAGATACTTTCCCTCTAAACCAAATACAATTATACAAACCAAAAGAAGAAGAAACTTTAACGAACCTACGAATAAATCATAAAAAAAAAAAACCATCAGGCCCTAAAAGTTCAAAACTTTTGCAAAAATGAAGATTTAGTTCATAAAGACATGAATATGAAATGCAAATGGAATCATTCCGAAATCAATAAAAAATGTTAGATACCTTGAGGGTTCCTTTGCAGTGAGAGCATTTGAAGCAAGATTTGTGATAATCCACTCCATCAGCAGACAACAGCTCCACTGGATAAACTGTCTTTTCACAGGCCTTGCATTTCTGTTGTGTCCCAATGAAAGACATGGCTCCACAAACTCTACGACCCGATCTTTCAGATAGATCTTCACACTATAATTTTTCCTCTCTTCTTGATGGGTTTATGCTCAACTCTGAAAAAACCAAAATGACTAGTGCCCTGCCTGTTTTGGTAAAAAATGTGGGACGAGGTGATAGACAATAAATTATTGATCTCAGCACAAATGGAAAACACCCGGATCAACAAATTATGGCAAGTAATTGAATGAAAATATTTGGTAAAAAACTTGTATACCTTGAAGAAGAAAGAAATTCAAGAATTCTTCATCTGTAAGCTTCTTGGATATGTCAAATCTTGAAAAAGAAGTCTGAGGAGCCCAGTTAAAAACTGGGGCATGTATGTATAATGTGTGTATATATAGAGAGACGCAGCGTAGCGGATGATGATGAATAATGATGGTGATGGTGAAAGAAAAGACAGGAATATCTTCGCTGGAAACGCATTTGGCTCCCACTTTGACTCGTATCGTGCAAAAGCGAATTAAAAGTTCGAAGTTTATATTACTTTGGATAATTTTTTTCCTGGTAACTAAGCTTTAATCTAATTTCAATTAAATCACTCAACTTCAATTTAATTTCAAATTTCATAACTTTATCACGTATCATCACCGATCACCCCCACAAACTGGCAGTTGAAGACAATCATGCCACAAATAATGTTCTTCATGACACCTCAATTAGAAAATAGTAAAATAAGGTTAATGAGATTAAAAATGTATATTATATATATATTTTTTATTTTAACACTTATATGACTTTGCGTAATGGTAAAAGATTTGTTGCGGAATGGTTGTCGTTAAGTATTTTTTTCATCAATTTTCGAAAATATAATGTGATGAGTGATAAAATTTGAAATCAATTTGAAGTTTATCGATTTAATTGAAACGAATTAAAGTATATGAACCCAATCGAGATTAGCAGTAAATGAAATTCGCCCAATCGAATATTTACTGACAGCATTTTTGTTTGGAGAAAAAGAATCATTATATCGATTAATCTTTTCGCATGCTGAAATAAACATGTCTCCAAGAATAGAATGGGTCACTGTCAAAATATCAACAATTTTACCATTTTACTGAAGCAGCAAAACGGCAACAACCAACAGGTGCAATCCAAGAACCATCTCTACCAATTCTTTATCTTTTCCAAAAAACCTTTCTGAATGTGAGAAATCAATCTTGTACTTCATGCTCATATTGTCATACATTATCCCCCAATTCTGCCCTCCATGCATACTCCTTGAATCAATACTTCCACTACTATACTCAATATTTTTCTCATCTTCGTCGAATAATTGATAAATGTAAGCTTCAGCCACCCCTTCTTTCCTCAATGGAGTCCCCATTCCAGACCTCAAATGCATCATTAACCCTTTCAAGTACATCTCTGCATAGTTTCGGTTAGCCTCCGTTTGGGCTTCGTTATTCCTGGTGCTCGGCCAACCGGTCTCTGTCACGATCAGCGGAATGTTCTCGTGTCCGGTAACTGCCATGGCGGCTATAACAGCGTCCACCATCATGTCGAAAAGATTTCGGTACCTAACCCCCGTGATAATGTCATCCCGGAAATTGTGTGGGTTTTCTTGGAACAAAGCATAACCAATTGGGATTTCGGATTTGATTCTATAAACGTTGTAGGGGTAAATATTGATTAAAAAGGAAGAGTTGGTTTCGTCCAGGAACTGCAGCAATGGTCTGATGATCATAGAATTGACGGGGTCTTGGAACTCAGCGGAGGAAGGAGGGAACGACGACGTCATGATATTCATGAAGGAAAAGGTGGTGGAGACAGATATGGTGCGAATGCCGAGTTCATGAAGGGATAAGTAGAGGTTGCGCATGGCGGGAAGAACGGCGTAGGGGTCAATGGTGATGTCATTGTTGGCGGAGGAGATGACATCGGAGCCGACGGAGATGAGGGAGAAGTGGGTTCGTGGGTGGTAAGGGAGGACGTGCGAGTAAAGCCAGATGGAGGCGGCTGAGCGATTGGCAGCGAAGGAGGGGATGAGGTGGTTGGAGATTGAAAGGAGTAGGGTAATGTTGGTGTAAGCAAAGGCCCGGATAGAGAGTGGGGTGGGGTCGAGGAGGCGGACGACGGGGAAGTGGAGTGACTGGATGGAGGAGGACACATGGTCGGGCAGCAGGAGTTTCGAGGTAGATGGGTTGTAGGTCATGCCAACTGGTGTGGCGATTGCGGTGGAGACGGCGGTGCAGAGGAGGAGGAGATGGACTTTGAGGAGGAAGTGGAACATGCGCGAGTTGAAAAAGGGAGGCATGGTGCCTGGGGGGATTTGTTGGTTTGTTAGTGTGGCAGAAAACTGATTTATGGAGGGAGTCTGGGGTTTCTACAGAAGGAAAAATTACTCCCTTCCTGCCCACATTAGGTTGTGCCTGATATTTAAAATATAAATAAATAGTACACATACACACGTCAATTACACAGAGTACTAGAAACCATTTCCATGTTAAAATTTGTCATTGTAGCGCTCTAATAAATGATTCAAGAATGAGAAATGGGGAACAACAACATGGTATACATAGTTAGATATTTGGGATCAAAGGCCTCATAGTAGACGGCAAATCTGTTCTCTGCCCAGCAAGTGAATAATATGCTAGAATGTGGGCAAGCACAACTTCCCCATTTGCATTATGACCAGGAACTTGTGTTGCAGGAATCACCTCAGTAATCCAGTTTGGACGCACCATACGTATTAGATCCCCACCACTTGCCGTAGTCCTATATTTTGTCAACCACAAATACCTCAGAGAAGTTAGTTGTAGTACAGCAACTGCCAGTGCGCGTTCACTAAAACAGCATGCCACCATTTCTAACTTTCGGAGGCTAGGGCAGCCTTTGGAAAATTCCATAATCCCTTTATCTGATTCCCCAACATAGTGCAAAAGCATCCATCTCACTTTTGGGCTGTACCGTCCAATATAACTGAGTCCTACATCTGTCAAACCCCCCGGCTGGAGACACAGAGCGAACCTCCTTAGTTTATGGCAACCCATTAACAGAGATCGAACTCCATTATCAAGTGGAAAATCTGCGAATTTTCCTTGTTTTTCAATCAAGACCAATCGGAAGTTTTGGAGGTTTTTCAAGTATGTGCCCACACATTTTAGGGAAGCATTTGTAATGTCAGACACATATAGTGACAAGTGTTCCAATTCAATGCATCCTCGCGACAAAGCAATTAATCCTCTATGTGAAATCACACCTTCGGCTTCTTCATTTTCATCTCCACGCTCAAACTTTACCCTTTTCATTCTCTTACAAAATTGAGCTATAACTTCCAATCCTCTATCTCCAATAACGATTCTTGCCTGTCCACAAAGACAGAATCACGTTTAATTACTTAGCTTAGTGTCAGAGTTTTATTCATGAATGTAGGATAAACAAAGATTATAAATGTTTACTCCAAGTATTTCCAAGTTTGGACATCTTTGTAGTAAGAGACAATGTCCTTCTGTGTCAAGCATAGCATAAAGGAGATCAAGTTTTTTAAGCCGAGAAGCAACAGGAAACACAATCGGCATTTCAGTTTTCCCCAAGAAAGTGAGACCCAAGCGGCACAATCTTGGTGGAAATGCTACTGTGGAATACCTTTTCAATTGCTCATATAAAACACCTTCATTAACCTGCTCGGGGAGCGCACTAAACGAGCCCCCACCAAACTCTTCTAATGAAGTTGCAGATCGGAAGAAACCACATAGGTCAGAAGTATCAGAATCAGAAATTTTCACAGAGACTAAAGATGCACATTTTTTGGCTATCAGATCAAGGTCTTCAGATGAGATTTTGACAAGATCTGTCAAGTAGAAATTCAAATTTTCAAGAACTGTATTTTTCAGAGCAAGCTCATGTAGCCATTCCCCGTCATTCTCAACAATTGTGCTTTCTTCCATAAACAAGGTCTTCATACTCCTACACAAGTGTGGGAAAAAAAAAATACTTACATCAACAAGACATGGAATTTTTGATATTTTCGAGAGGATGTTACCACATGTACATAATCCACCAAGCAGCACATGCTATAGATTCAAGGGAAATGTATTCGATTCAGATGTAATTATCTATGCATTTCTTGGAAATCGCCTTCTTCACCTCCATAATTTTGTGTGTTGATTTTTACATTATGAGCCAGCATCACAATCACAACTAAAGATGTAAGCAAGAAAAGAATAGGAGAATTAGACCTAACATAATGCTAAAAATATGGCTAAACAAAGAGAAATTTTGTATTGACGTTACTAGCAATGCATCAGCAATTGTTAACAGTTTTGTTTTCAGCTATGGACAAAGCAAATTTCCTTTGGAGAAGGGTGTTTCAAATCATGAATCTTTAGTAGATAAAAACAGAACACGAAGCACACCACTTCAACATTCAGACGAGAACATACTTTCTCATGCATAAATTCGGCAAATGAAGATTTAATCCGATGCAGCACATCACTAGCTAATAGCGTACGTCCCAATACATTGTGCATCACGTCGATTTGATAAAAATTATGCACTGGTTGTCAACCTACCATAACCATCCTTTACTCGGGCGTGGTGGTAAAAGCTTAAGTCAATAATTTATCATTCGTAAGTCAAAATACAGCAAAATTAACACTCCAACGAACATAAAATCATCCCTCTTACCGGCAAAAGCGACTGATATGCAAGAGTCCGTCTGTGGAAAATCCACGGCAGTTATCAAGTTTCAAGACTTTAAGACCCTTGCCAGTCTCTGAAGTGGCAAGCAATTCAAGGTCCGAGTCCTTCACTATCATTCTTCGAAAGTGCAACGCTTTAATTCTATTGGAGGACTTGACGATTTCCTCGATCCACGGCGTAACATAGCCGCCCCAGTCATTCGGCATAAGGCTAAACATTACAGCTCGTGGTTGGCCCTTGAGTTTGAGGGACTCCAGGTGGGGGAACCGTCCTAAGAGGCGGTCGGCCGTGGTGGTGTAACACAGAGCAATAGTGATGTGCTTTCTCGTGATGGCATCGATCTCGTACCAACTTTTGCACACCAGAGAAATTGCAGCCCGATCTTGAGGCCTTTGTATGTATGGAATCACACACTCCCATACTGTGTTGTCGTATGATCTAGCTTTACTGATAGTACATGTACTAATACTATTCATCTTCATTGATCCTCTTTCATCTATTTCTTAGGGTTAAGAGAAGGAGGAGAAGATATAGATTAGAAATTGTCCCAAGATTAGTAAGAAATGCGACTATTTGAAGATGGAAAGGGGGACGAATTATCTGCACTTTTTATTTTTTAATTATAAATTAAAAAAATAGTAATAAATAAGTGAATATTACTAATGACTTAAGAGTAAAGAGTCCAATCAAACAAATTTCATTTTTTTTTTTAAATTTCTTTTTGTTCTTGTTAATTCAAAAAAAATTATATCGTTTTCGAATTCCATCCAATTTTACTGCATCAAAAATGGAGAAAAGGGAAATGAATTTCATGATAACGAAAAAGAAAAGAAAAGTATATGAGTATGCAAGCGAGTGCACGATTGGGAATTTTATTTCTTTAGATTAGAAATATGATAGTCAAGATTTTTTAAATTATACAAGGCACTTCATTATTCAAAATTAGATATTTATTTTAGGTATAAAGACAGCTCCACCCTCAAACTTTTCGAAACATTGCAATTTTTTCTAAACATTTCATTTGTTGCACCCATGTTTTCATACCTTCCAAGCGCATGCGCCTAGAGTTCAAATAAATGAAAAATCATCCATAAGTCTGTTAGTTGATCAAAAGATTGAGTTGGACCACATTTTTAACATTTTTATAAAGGGCAAAAAAGTAACTTTCTATTTACCATAATAAATGATTAAAAAAAAAACTTCTTACATTTTAATTTAATGGCAATAGAAATGAAAAGGAAATCAACACCACAAAGATTATCACTAAGGCAAACACAAATACTAATGACATATTGTCATTAGTTTCAAATTTTGTCTCCAATTGTTAATTATTTCAACATAAGAGTCAACTTTACTAAATTCTTACAAAATATTTCGATGTTGGGTAAATAACGAAGTTTAAGATAAACATAAGTTTAGCTAAGTTAATATACAAATTGCATGTGAGTAATTACAACTACATCCTAAATTAAAGGAATACAACATCTTTGATTGAGAGAGCATATCTTGTTTGGTAATAATATATTTGATTCATTAACCTAATAGATGGTACTCTAATTGGAGATTCAAAGCTTGGACGAACGAGAGAAAAAGGGTTATCGAGCAAGAGACTTCGTGAGAGCATATGCTAGTCGATGCTTTGTATAAATTTAAGAGACACTAAGAATACCTTTACCCACATGGTCACAAATAAATTGAAAATATAGTTCAATATGCCTTGTTAACGAAATATTGGACTAACATACAAATGAGTAGTGCCAATGTTGCCAAAATAGATGGTTGGTCGGCATGTTAAAGCATGTTTGCCTAAGCTAAAAAGTAAACAAACTTGGCTTTTTTAGAAAGAAAGGAAAATCAAGCTTTTAAAATAGCATTTTTTTTGTACTAAAGTTCAAAAATTAAAAAAGCCTACGATGTTTGGGAAAAAGTAACTATAAACATGTTTGGCTAGGCTTGCAAGCTACTTATAAGTAAACTTCTATTTTAGCCTTAGCCAAACATGATCAAATGTTTATGTCGAATAAGAAAAAAATGAATTTGAGTGATGACTTTTAAATCAAAAACCAAACTTACCAATCTCACCAAAAATTGAAAATAGTAACAGCAAGGAAAAGAGTAATAAACACCAAAGAAAAAGAATGTCGGATTAATGCCAAGAGAAATGGATGCAATGTTGAGGCAAGAGTTGAACTCTTTGTCCTTGAGTTAAATTTGTCCTGCAATGATGCCTATGAATGATGACAATCTATAATTTTTTATCAGCACATTTTTTACGGCTCATTGATTAAAATCTATAATTTTATTTACCATACATACTCTAAACACAAACGTATGAATAGGCATGTATGCTTCTCACTATGGCTTAAGAAGCTACATGGATTAACCCTTATTTGGTTTTATTAAAAATCATATTTTTAGTAAATTTTGATAAAAGTTGATAAAATATGACATTTAAAAGTTTATAAAAGTTGCGGATCTCATTAAATATGTTATTAAAATTAATTATTGATTTTGACGTATATTTTCATATATTTTTTTAGCTAAATCAAAAAGAAACTTAGGCCCTCATTTGATTTATAGATAAAACTCGGATTATTATTGGATTTTGATAAAAGTTGGTGGAATGTTTGGTTGAAAAGTTGTAGGTCTCACGAAATGTATGGTTAAAATTAATTATTAACTTTTATTTAAATTTTAATCAAAGTTTGCAAATGAACCAAACAGGGGCTTAATGTCAAAATATGGCCGGTGAGGTTGGACTTTGATTCTTTGAGTTAAGATTTGATTTTGGCTTCAACTAATCCATGAAAATCACAAGTTGTTACCTGTGTGAATCCCTAGTAGATGAGATTACAAAATTCATGCATTAGCCACTGACATGACGATTATAATTCCAGCAATTGAGAGGCAAGTGAAAGTCAAAAATTGGAACATAAATTACTAATTTACTGCAAGCGGGTACACGATTGGGAATTTTATTTCTTTAGGTTAGAAATATGATTGTCGAGAATTTTTAAATTATACGAGGCACTTCATTATTCAAAATTAGATATTACGTGGGATCCATCAATAAAATTGGATTTTGGTGTCAACTCATTTAATTCAAATAATCTCAAATTCCTAGTAAATATTTTTCTCTTTAACTGTAAGTGGAGATCTTGATAGCAATAGTTTGTGGATACCGACGTAATGCTCTCAAATTAAGTTAAGAGCATCTCTATTATGCGCATCTTGTCAATGCATCTTTTTTGGTACTGAGAGCCATATGTTCAAATTCTGTCACCTTTACCTGAGGCTGAAATAAGCAGAGACTTGTCTCATTTTTCATATTTTGAAAACAAACCTACTTTTATTATGTTTAATGCGCTAGAATTTGTTTATATGACAATGTAGCATTCTTTCGAGCACTATAAAGCTTTACACTGTCATCAATCCCCCACAGAAAAATAGACTAATCTTACCTTTAACAAATGCAAGTGCAGAAAGCTTGCAGACAAAGTACTGTAAAACAATGAGTTGGTTACAGACTACCAAAAACAAGGGCAGGTAAAGAAGATGCTGAAAGATGAAAAAAAAAAAACAATGTTTTCCCCCTTTCTTTAGGGGAAATGAGCGTACATTTTTAGGTTAATTACAATTCTGAACATACACCCATATATCTACATTTCCATTTTATAAGACTGAATCTATCTAAACTGATAAAAGCAACCAAGTTTCTCAATCAGTTCGTCTTTTCATCTCTTGAGTTAGAGCAATAATCTTCAAAGAACGACGGCCCAAAACCAGCAGGCTTCTCTTTTTGATCAACAGAATCATCTCTGCTAATGCATCCTTTGCCAATGCTACCTTCAAAAGATTTCTCTGAGAATGGAACCATGCCCATAGCTGTGATACCATTGCTGATGGCAAGTATGTTTTGCTTATGGTTGCTGCTGGCCAGCATAGAGGGAAATACATCAAGCAGCTGTGGATTAGGCTGGTTGGAACTACTGATGAGCAAGCGAAGTGTCTCCCTAGCACCTTTTTCGACCGCTGATTCCACATCTGATATCAGAGGGTTCACAAGATCTGAGCCTAATGATGGAATAGTTGTCGACATGGTAGGGCCCGCACTGACCAGATACCCTTGGCCGGAGGAGCAAACTTCAATAATGGGGACATGAACAATTGGGTCACATGTTAAAGGCGAAAAGGTCACGATCTGCTGTGATGTTGGTATGGGAAATTGCAATGGCAGTGGCAACCTGACCAATGGCTCAGGCAGGAGAGGAGGAAAGTCTACAAGGGGGACATGGTCAATATTATGGGGCAATTTTGATGTCAAACAGCTAGATTGCCTGGCAGTTGCAAGAAGAGAAGAAAGTGGAGGTAGAGATACTGATTCACCCATTGAAAAAGACAGCTGTGAAGGAATTTGAGTTTCTAGCCCCAAGAAAGGCAGGTCTACAGAGTTCCCAAGTGCATCTAGAAAACTCAATGGAGGAAATAGTTTAGTTCCAGTTGCTTCAGAAAGCTCTTCCTTATCAAAGCAAATTGAACTAGTTGGCTCTACACAACTTGGTGAAGCATCATCTAGGTTGTCAACACATGACATGCATATATCTTCACGCCGATTCAGTGTTTCCCTGGCAACACCACNAATTTTGATAAAAGTTGATAAAATATGACATTTAAAAGTTTATAAAAGTTGCGGATCTCATTAAATATGTTATTAAAATTAATTATTGATTTTGACGTATATTTTCATCAATTTTTTTAGCTAAATCAAAAAGAAACTTAGGCCCTCATTTGATTTAGATAAAACTCGGATTATTATTGGATTTTGATAAAAGTTGGTGGAATGTTTGGTTGAAAAGTTGTAGGTCTCACGAAATGTATGGTTCATATTAATTATTAACTTTTATTTAAATCTTAATCAAAGTTTGCAAATGAACCAAACAGGGCTTAATGTAAAAATATGGCTGGTGAGGTTGGACTTTGATTCATTGAGTTAAGATTTGATTTTGGCTTCAACTAATCCATGAAAATCACAAGTGAATCCCTAGTAGATGAGATTACAAAATTCATGCATTAGCCACTGACATGACGATTATAATTCCAGCAATTGAGAGACAAGTGAAAGTCGAAAATTGGAACATAAATTACTAATTTACTGCAAGCGGGTACACGATTGAGAATTTTATTTCTTTAGATTAGAAATATGATTGTCGAGAATTTTTAAATTATACGAGGCACTCCATTATTCAAAATTAGATATTACGTGGGATCCATCAATAAAATTGGATTTTGGTGTCAACTCATTTAATTCAAATAATCTCAAATTCCTAGTAAATATTTTTCTCTTTAACTGTAAGTGGAGATCTTGATAGCAATAGTTTGTGGATACCGACGTAATGCTCTCAAATTAAGTTAAGAGCATCTCTATTATGCGCATCTTGTCAATGCATCTTTTTTGGTACTGAGAGCCATATGTTCAAATTCTGTCACCTTTACCTGAGGCTGAAATAAGCAGAGACTTGTCTCATTTTTCATATTTTGAAAACAAACCTACTTTTATTATGTTTAATGCGCTAGAATTTGTTTATATGACAATGTAGCATTCTTTCGAGCACTATAAAGCTTTACACTGTCATCAATCCCCCACAGAAAAATAGACTAATCTTACCTTTAACAAATGCAAGTGCAGAAAGCTTGCAGACAAAGTACTGTAAAACAATGAGTTGGTTACAGACTACCAAAAACAAGGGCAGGTAAAGAAGATGCTGAAAGATGAAAAAAAAAAAACAATGTTTTCCCCCTTTCTTTAGGGGAAATGAGCGTACATTTTTAGGTTAATTACAATTCTGAACATACACCCATATATCTACATTTCCATTTTATAAGACTGAATCTATCTAAACTGATAAAAGCAACCAAGTTTCTCAATCAGTTCGTCTTTTCATCTCTTGAGTTAGAGCAATAATCTTCAAAGAACGACGGCCCAAAACCAGCAGGCTTCTCTTTTTGATCAACAGAATCATCTCTGCTAATGCATCCTTTGCCAATGCTACCTTCAAAAGATTTCTCTGAGAATGGAACCATGCCCATAGCTGTGATACCATTGCTGATGGCAAGTATGTTTTGCTTATGGTTGCTGCTGGCCAGCATAGAGGGAAATACATCAAGCAGCTGTGGATTAGGCTGGTTGGAACTACTGATGAGCAAGCGAAGTGTCTCCCTAGCACCTTTTTCGACCGCTGATTCCACATCTGATATCAGAGGGTTCACAAGATCTGAGCCTAATGATGGAATAGTTGTCGACATGGTAGGGCCCGCACTGACCAGATACCCTTGGCCGGAGGAGCAAACTTCAATAATGGGGACATGAACAATTGGGTCACATGTTAAAGGCGAAAAGGTCACGATCTGCTGTGATGTTGGTATGGGAAATTGCAATGGCAGTGGCAACCTGACCAATGGCTCAGGCAGGAGAGGAGGAAAGTCTACAAGGGGGACATGGTCAATATTATGGGGCAATTTTGATGTCAAACAGCTAGATTGCCTGGCAGTTGCAAGAAGAGAAGAAAGTGGAGGTAGAGATACTGATTCACCCATTGAAAAAGACAGCTGTGAAGGAATTTGAGTTTCTAGCCCCAAGAAAGGCAGGTCTACAGAGTTCCCAAGTGCATCTAGAAAACTCAATGGAGGAAATAGTTTAGTTCCAGTTGCTTCAGAAAGCTCTTCCTTATCAAAGCAAATTGAACTAGTTGGCTCTACACAACTTGGTGAAGCATCATCTAGGTTGTCAACACATGACATGCATATATCTTCACGCCGATTCAGTGTTTCCCTGGCAACACCACTGAATGAAGTAAAGTCTTTAAAAGAACTAGACATAGGACTGAGGATATCCCGATAGACTGGATTTGAATTTGTTCCTCGACTACCATAGACACCAAATCTCGAAGTCTTCAGAGATTCTAATGAAGATTCAGAAGAATCAACTGAATTATCTGGAGAAGGGGTAGCTGGAAGAATTGAACTAGCTTGAGCACTAGCCATCATTGATCCAGCAAGATAAGCTCGAAGGCAACTCGTAAAACAGTTGAAGCGTGAATCATTAATTCCAGTTAATTCAGCTAGTGATGGTTTCCTTGTAAGTAAATCCTTCATCTGCCCAAGGCAAGAAAAGACGAACATTAAAAATAATACACTGAAAAAACATGTACACGCTACGAATTATTATGCTGATCATACCTTTCTGAGCAATTCATCCCCCAGAAGTTTAGACTTTTCTGAGCACCAAAAATAGAAAATCTCACCATCTGGAATCTTGATCAAGAAAGATCGTCCAGACTCATCCGCTGAAATTTCTCCAACTTCTACAGCTGAGCATTGAGCATCAGTGCTCAATGTTGCCACTATCTCCATGTGACCATCGTCCCCAATGAATGAGATGCGCAAGTCCAGAGTTGGTAAAAGTGTGAGATTTAAATTCCCTCTGTTCAAATTATAAACAAAGTCAATAAGCAATTGTCGGTGAAATACTCCCATGTCCCAAAAAGATTTCAAGGAAAAGAAATAAAGTCATATAATTGGCATGAATCAGCCCCATCCTTGTAGCTAAGACTCAGGCTAACAGACATATGGAAAGATGATGATAAGAACACCAACCAAATAGCTAAGCCTAAAAAAAAAAATCTACTCAATTTGCATGAAATTCAATTTATAGCTGATCATAGGCACTTTTCCTTGATTATTTTTCATTCATCTTTATTATACTTCAAAAGATACCTTTAGCCTAGCATGAGGATTTAATCAGGGACTTGTACACAGAAAGAAGAGAAACTTTATGTATACCATAATCCTTACTTCTTACAAAGGAGAGGACATATTTATCAGGTAGACATCAAACAAGCATCAAATGCTATAAGCTATTAAAATGGATTCCAAAAGACACCGTCGTGAATTTATCAACATAAGCTGCAAGTGAAATACCATCATCTAACAAAAGCAACTGGTAAAGAAACATGAAACATTCTAGTGAGAGTCAATTCTTAATTCAAAATATATAGAAAGTAAAATATTCACAATCATCCGTCCAAACTGGCCAGTCATCTCCACATAGTATGAGCCAGAAAGACAACAAAAATATCACGACTATATATAAAGCAAATACAGGACAAGATAAACAATGAAACTTCTTCCACATTACGATATTGATTCTATACAAACAAGAAAATGCAAGGTACACTATTAACATAGGATCATGAAACTACCTTTACTTCTTCTTAATTCAGAGATCATAAAGTAACGCCCAATTTACCTACAAGCCAAAAGACATTTTCACTTGGAAGGCTGAACATAATCACCATTAAGAAGCTAAAAATACATTATCCTGTAATATCTAGTAGTCATCAAGAATAATATGTGATATATACAACAAAATTAAAATCACGTCAGATTGTCACTTAAAATAGCTAATTTCTTTGACATATTATGAAAAAGGGAAAAACTAAAATGCATTGAAATCAGTAAATGAACATAAAATAATACATAAACAAGGAGAACTGGTGCCAAAATACTGAAGGAGTCCATTTGACTATAAAGTCTCATATCCAGGTGCAGTGGTTTAAGACAGAATCCATCAAGTAGTGCTGATCAAGAGATGGTTAAAACATGTCTGCAATTCATATACAAGATGCTAAAAAAACCTAATCAAGTATAGTGGTTAGAGATGATAATAAAATCTGTTATGTTATCAGTAATCCAGCAGTCAAAATAAAATCCGCCATTCAAATAATAGTTGATGTGGTAAAGTAACTTGTATTAATAAATAAACAATTGACAAGAAAAAATTGCAGTATAAAGTTCTAAAAATTAGAAAAGACACATGACAGGAATAATCAGATGCAAGCAAAATATATCGCCAGTTGCCTCTAAAACAAAAACATAATGCATACCTACAATTACAGCAAGTTGCTCTACAGAAATCTAAATTGTATCTCCAATTACATGAAATCCTACAAAATTTTCAATCACGAGAAATAATTCAACCAACTGCCTGTATGAGACAGTCAATGCACACTTAAAACATAATATAAATCTGATTACCATTCACTAAATGCCACCGAGGCTCCGAGGGGACAATAAAGAATCCTGGGTGTTAACTCATCAACTGAAATTATATAAATATATGTTATTTTACCAATAATCTAACTTAATTTCCTTCATTTAGTTCTTACTCAGGCATTTTGCTTATCCTCCTTTTCAGTCAACAATGGTCGAACTATTTCATTCAGATTTTTATGTGACAGTCGACATTATCAAAATTTTGGTCCGAAGATAGTTTAAATAAACAACCAAAGACAAGCGAGAAGAATATAGAAATTTATTTATCTTCAGAGAGTTACTATCTTATCGAAATCTATTCTTATACATCTCCATCAAAATTTTCGAAATTAGATAAAAAAATTCGATCTCCTATGAAGAACTAACAGGCTTTCGGTGATAAACAGCTATCTTCCCAGAAAGGTAGATAGCTAAAAAACACTTGAATTCGGAGTCAGTCTAACAGCAAGGATCTACCCCACACAACATATAATTCACATTCAGGCTTCAATGTAAGCTAAAACTATTTTTCCCTTGACCAAATTTGTACTTATCTAATCCCAACCCCCTAAAAAATAAAATAACCGAAAACCAAAATATGTCTCTCAAAGATCACATTCCCTAGTTAATTCACTCAACAGACAACAATAATAATTACTTAACAAAACTGTACACACTATAACAGAGGTCAAATCATTTTCTAAATGCAACTGTAATGTGGGTAACAAAATGTAGAGATTGCAACTACCTTATGGATGTTGGACATAAGAGGCTCCCTTGCTTAGCGATCTTCCCTACGCGGATAGAAACAAGAGGCATGCACAAACACCTAGCCAGCATACCCACTTCTGATGGCTCAAAGTGCTGTTTCATTATCACATTAGGTCAGCTAAGTTGATAAAAGGAACAAAAGGGTATCATGTATGCAGCCTACTCTGTTCATAATTGAAGCACAAGTATCTATTAGAAAAGACTAATACATCTTTCCTTGCCAACCAACTTGGGATATGAAAAAAACCTAATACATCTGGGGAAATTATTTTTACAATAATTAAACCCTCACAAAGGATAACACAATAATTAAACATCTTCAAAACTCGAGAACAAGTGAATTACAATATAAGTAAAGTCAGCTAGGGCTACGAAATTGAATTAGAAATTGCAATCCGAATTTGCTTATGTACATTTCGCCAATTCCAAATCCAAATCCAAATTCTACCCGTCCTTACAAAACTTATTATAACCAGTAAATACAAGGGCACAGATTTTATTTTGATTACTTATACCTGATTAAGGTGAGCCAACAAACAATCCTCAGCTGCGCCAGCGGATAAATTGAGTTTCAGCAAAGGCTTCAACCTTTCGTCCGTGCGACAAGCCCCCATAACCTGCATGTCCAGAGCCTGAAGCCACTGGCAAAATCCATACCCCCGACCGCTCTGTTGTAGCAGCAGATCGCAATCACCATCCTCCACAATAATCTCCTTCGACCTCTGCGTAATAGAAGGATTCTCAGCAGGTGAGATCTCATCACCGTCCGATGAACCGTTAAATGAATCCTCGCCGTTGGTATCTTGATCCACACTGTTTACATCTTCGATCTGGCGATTGTTTCTTGATTCTTGTTTCTCAGAATTTACCATTTTTAGATCTTGATTTCCGAATCGATGCAAATTGTGATATGAACGACTTTCTCAAAACAAAGAGCCCTAATTTATCTTTTAAAATTCAATTCACAAACGTAAATCAATCACAAAATCTTCAAAGAAGAAAATTCAAACATGGAATGAACGGCCACCGATAATTCTTAACTGTCGCGAAAATGAGAATGAACGGCCAAGCAGTTATATATGGAGATACTACGGAGTTAGAAAATGATTATGAAAAAGGGTTTGTTGTAGGTTTGAAGTCCGGAAAATATCTGACCAACTATAAAACAATAATCGCCGTGCGGGCTTTTTAAGACGTCAGCTTTACATCCTGTGGGCCCTTGTGAAAGCCCTTTAGGCCCACGCCTGTGTTGCTCATATTGCCACGTCATCGCACAGTTGGATCCCAAGCATTTTTCTTCCAAAGCTGCTACATACACATTTATTTTATACGTTAAGAGCCTGATTGACAATTATTAATTTATTTTATGATTTGTCGTATGATCATTTTTAATTACATATTTACACAATAAAATATTCTACACGTATATCAAAAAAAATTCTTTTTTTAACCACACATTCTCCTGAAAGTTAATATTCAAAATTATTTTTTCTACAATAAAGATTGTCAACAGACTCTTAAGCATTTTTCTTCCAAAGCTGCTACATACACATTTATTTTATACGTTAAGAGTCGATTGACAGTTTGTGATGGGGCAAATTGTCAAATTTAGTGCATACCAAGCATGATTGTATTTCTTCGGCCCAAT